GATATATCACCGCTGGTCAACCCACTGGGTCCCATTCGAGGAAGCCTTACGCCTGGATTTTATGAATGTGAGTATACACCCACAGCATGTAGATACAAAAGGCAGTCTTTTTGTCACCATCTGAAGACAAAGCAATGGGTTCACACATTACTTCACAATACCCTTCGAGGTACTGCCCTCCTCTGATGAAAAAAAAACGCAGGGGATGAGAACGAAGGAAGTGCAAGCGTTTGGGTTTTGAGCACAGGATGCGCCAATTTCTGGTCTCACGATAGGGGTTCTGGTAGGTAGAGGAGTCCTTAACAAGTTCCTTACTAGAACGTGCTATCAATTCCCGACTTCATTCAAGTGATTGACATGAAATCCACTTAGCATTGAGGAGAACTTTAGGATTAATTCTCACCTCTCATACTTCTTCCTTCTGCGAAATGGAATGGGATGAGGAGAAACCAGTGGTCACAATCAGTGCGCGGTTCCACTGCATTGAGAAAATCACCCTAAACCTCTGCCACACTTATTGCACCTTATTGGATGCGATTGTTGACTGCTGGCTACGAGTTAGACATGAATTTTAAAAGCAGTCCTTGTTTTATCATAACCCTAACGCAACCAGTTTGCAATTGTTATGCTGACGTTTTCAGTGAGTTGCCATCTACAGCGATGGAGGGATCATCTGCACCGCAATGCCATTATGACGTGCTGACTGCCGTCAACGGACTTCATCTTCAAGTGGCAAATGTCGGCGAACCAGTTGTCCATAAGTGGACATGTAGTTCAGGTGCAATATGCTCACTGTGATCACCAGCAGTGGCTCCCACCAGGGGTTGCGCAAGCTTATAGTTACTTCAAACTGTTTTTGAGTTAAATTTATTCCTACAAAAGCCATTCTACAGTATATGCGTCATCTTTGTTAATAAGTTACTGGAGCTATTGACAACCAGGCTAAGTGGGTTCGCTTCCATCTCAGCGTTGTGAATCCCTGCTCAAAAGGTAGTCAGGTCATCATTCTCCAGGGCCCTCTGGGCATCGTGTTTCTTGCGCATGAAATGACTGTTGAGAAATGTGAGGAGCATGTTGAGAAGAGCCTGAGTCAGGGCTGTGCAGTGAATGCGGTCGAATTTCCCGTTTACCGTCAGGCCACAAGTTTTTGAGCTTTATCCGATGTGGTCTTGCGTCATACATCCCGTATACCTGTTGGCTTGCGGAAAGGGGCCCATAATTAATGGCGTTTTTTCTCACTCGAAATTTTGCGTCAAAGTTGGGAAGATGACTTTTGTATTAATTGATAGAGATTCTTCTGCTCCATAGACTATATGCTCGATTCATTTACTTCAGGCCTTATTATTGCAAATATATTATGACACTATTATTTGAAATTTTATTTTATTTATACTATTATTAATTGGGAGCAAGATTTTATTTCCATAAGCTTTGATCGCTTTAAAAGCTTCAGAAGGTAGTGCCAAGTCGACTGAATCGAGCATTTTCGGAACCTTCTCCTTCCTTCATCTTATTAGGGAGAAACTGCAGAGGCTTATTTGTTAAATGTATGCTCGATGTCCGATATTTCTTAGAAAGGCAGGAAACGGTTTAAATGATTCCATCCGGCTGGAAGCTTACTAAATCAGATTTCTCAAGGGCATCCATGCGGAATAATGGGGAAAAGGTAGTGGTCATGCAGTGCTCCCACATCATCAATGAGCACAACCCTCAGTTGATGGGAGAGTGTCGAGCGGGAAGGTGGGGATGCGGTACAAGCACATGTGAAACAGGAAAACCGCGAGGAAAATACGACCTCTTCCTCCATCCTACGCGCGGGGAAATGCTGCCCTCCTTCCCATCGTACTCACCACTTTCTCGAATTTTCCCAAGTTCCTATTACCTAAAACGTTTTTCGGAAGGGGGCAGAAATTTTCCCACTTTCACGCAGAAAATTTGACGAGCGAGGGGGGGGGTTTAGGCCCTGAAGGACAAACCTTAAGGAAAAATCCCCACTTTTCACGCAAAATTAATGTGGGGGTAAACGCTATTACATGGGCCAATCCAGTGAAAAATACCATCGGTTACAGGCGAATGCGCCACCGAGCATGCCAACTACGGCTTCTATCCTTTCTGATGAATTCAGTGCCTGGCACTCCCAAGCCTGGTTCACGTGGAGACACCACCCTGCCTCCAACGATAAGGCTGCTCAACCGGTAGATGTGACGAGAGCAGGAGAGAAGTTGCAGATGTTAACGCAGCGCATTCTCCTCTGAGAGTAGATTAGTACATGAGCAATGTATTGGCCAAAGTTCAACATTCTGACTACTCAGTGGAACCCTCT